TCGTTGCTTCCCAAGAATTCAAGCATCCTCACTCCGTTGTCATTCACTTTGTCTTCTCCGTGCTGCCCGATCGCCTGTCCTCTACTGGAAGCTCTCCCTACTTACTCTGGAGTTAAAATCGCCCACCATGACAACTTCTTACTTCCTACTGAACCTCTGGACATCTTCCCCAATTTGTCCAAACTTCGCCTGCTCCTTGCTTGCGACTTTCTTCGGCGACGGTCGGACGTATACGTTCCCTAGAAACAAAACTTTCTTACCCCGCTCCCCAGGTATGTTAAGCCATATGCTTTCCTCGAACTCCGTTTTCACCACTACTTCCACCACGTCAAACAAGTGTTCGTTGAGCAGGAATCCGACTCCCCCTTCCCCCCTTTTCTTCGGGTCTAAGCCCTTTCTTGCCTTCCCTACCCACCGGTTTTTCCCTAGTTTGCTTACCACGTCCCCATCCTTCAATTCCCACGTCTCTTGGATCCCTACTACATCTAGATCGCTTTGTTCTACTTGGTCCACTTTTTCCAACCGCTTGCGCTCACTCCTTGCGAACCCGCACACGTTCCACGACCCGACTCATAGCTTGTGCTTTTCCCTATTGGAGATTTTGCGCGCTCTATCTTTCACCTTCCGCTTCTTCTCGGACTTCTTCTGACTTTCTTGCTCGCCTCCCCCGCTCGGTCCTTTCTTCAACTCCGTCGCCCTCGCCTCTTGTCTCCTTACCTTCTCTGTTTCTATCATGTTCGCGATGCAAATCCTACATCCAAACTTCCTTACGTAGTTCGACAGCTTCTCGATATCAACCCCCAAGCACTCTTGGCTGTCTCCCTTGGTCAATTTCACCAGGAAGTGTTCATGTTCTCTGCCTACTTGTCCCCTTGCTAGGCAGTGCAGTCCCTCCCTGTCACAACAGTTCTTGAACTCTATCCTCGTCATGTCCCTTGGGATCCCAAACAGCAGCAGCTCCAACTTGTCTCCCTTCCACAGTTTCTGCTTCCATCCTCCCGGCTTCTTCACCATCCTCAAGATCTCTACGGCAACTGGACCGTGGCCACGTTTTTTTCGTGTTTTTTCAGGAAGAAGGTATACGGAATACTCGGCCTTCCCAATCCGAGTGTCCGGCGGGGGTTGTGGTTCCTTTAGCGTACACCAACGTCCAGCTTCTCATGTACGCTCCACCATGGGTTGCTACCCCACTTACGCTCCCGAGTAGACCTATCTGCCGAAAGTTTGGCCAACAATTTAATAATTCCTTACTGCTTTACACTCGCCTCTCTCCAATCGAAAACAATGCATT